CCATAATTCAATTTCCGTGTCACATCTTCGTCATACCGTTATATTTGAATAATGTAATTCAATTCTGCATTATGGAAGGACTTTTTAGCGAGACAGCCACATGGAAACTACGTCTGGGATCGCTTATCTGTTTCCCCATCTAGCCTATGTCGGAAAACATCCCAGTCAGAACAACCGAGACCTCACACCACTTACTCAAATGTTGTGGATCAAGCCATTAGGTCCTAAACAGAAGCCCTGATATGCCTTTTCCTTGTTGGATGATTTCCGTTTTGGTATTTAACAAAAAAAACAACGGGTGATTTAACCCACCACAGGCCGTATTTTTTCACTATTTGAAGTAAAAAATCGATAAACACACCCCTTCCGCCCTAGATGTTAAAGCATGGCTTTGAGAGACAACGTAAGCCTCTTTTTCAATTACTGATCATTTATTTTAACAACTGATTGTAGCTTCGTGCGATATTCAATGCGTTTCCGGCAAGAAAAGGAACTGAGGATTCCGCGACTTCGCCCAGTGCGTCCACGCCCATTTCTACCAGCATGGACTGGGACTTTTACGTCATCCCTTTGCTTGCTGGTGTACTAGCAATTCTTCTCTTCTTCATGCGCCACCAACGGTGAAAAGAGCGAGAAGACTGCTGCCCTCGACTGTGGAAGCACACATAAACTTGGTATATTTTCTAAGCCAACAGGGACTCCTTTTGGGTGCAGAATTGGAGACTTCCTTCTTTATTGTTCTTTCCTCGCTTATTTTTATTTGCCTCGGCTGTCTCCGCCAAGTTAGTGGAGTGTGTGTTTTTAAGGGGAAAATAAACATTACATTTACGCATTTTGTCTCTTGGGTTTCTGTGTAATCGATTTTAACCTAAACAATTCCATTGGTAACGGCCAGTGTCACCATTGCATTAGTTGTCAGCCTAGGGTGTTTTATTGGCTTACCATGCAAGTTAGATCTCGGTCACACTGACATCCTTGCAGGACCTATCAGAAATAATATTCGGAACAAAAACACTCAGAAGTGCCGTTGCCATAGTCGCACACACCATGTGCGCTCTCTGCTAACTCCTATGAATGTGCTCTGATAAAGAAGACGGGTGGTTGTCCAGACAGAGAGACTAAGGGATACGCGTCTTAACCCCCTGTTACTACTATAAAACCAAGCGCCCATATCCGAGACAACAATGTTGGCCCGACCACAGTGTCTACTCATGAGAGAGTGATAGCATGTAATCTCCACATGCTTGGCAATCACAACTACTAAACAGGGGTAGTTATAGCTAACTTTTTATTGGCTGCTTTCTGGTATTAAATACGTGCATTTCGTGGATATGATAAAAAAGCAATCGCATTCCTAAAATGCACAAAACCGTCTCAAAAGTGGCTTTTCATGTTCTCACGAGATACACTCGAAAATCGTGAAAGGTGTTTATTGATGAGCTTATCCTGACTTATTTACGATCGATGATCAGTCGAATATCACCCCGTGGTAGAAAAAGACACGGTCTAGATGCAAGCTGAAAACCTCATCAATGGAGT